AAGTCGCCATGTCGTTCTAGCGCAATAAGAAATTAGACCTTAAGGATCAAGCCGTTGTCAATGTCGCAATCTCTCAGATAATGCAGTAATGCGGTGGAAGCGATGACGGACGGGGACCAAAATTAGGCGGACAGCTGACTCACTGCCGACGCAACCGTGACTGACGCACACACATGCGCATACAAACAACACACCGACCCAAGCGGCCACACCCACAAACATTGCAGAAATCACTGCCAAAAGCCACATCGGCAGACCCAAGAAGAGCATCTCCTCAGGCTAGTATGAAGAATTGAGGACGAGAAAGTCTTCCGGGAGTTGAGCTATGTATAGTTAATTCCTATAGCGTGTTTGAATGGTTACAAACGGTTTCACAAAACTACACCTAGTATAAAAAATGTAAATGACAAAGGGATCTCCTTTTTTCACCTCTATTTCATGCTACGAACCTTTAAAACAGGGCGATGAACGTTTAGGTAAATCAGGTCATGACTGGCTGAAGAATTTGCGAGGTAAAACGCAAGATACCAGAGCCTCTATAATGGACTACTGTTTGATGCGAAAGCATTCATTTACTGCTGTTATCGTAGCCATATAGAGAGCGAGTAATTATCAGACGAAATCATGGCCACCATCTTAAATTCTGTGCATCCAAGTTAACATGTGGAGTACATGTTGCGACTTATGTGCGCACTGTGTGATATCAAATTGGGGGCATTGTTGTGTACTCGATCCGTACGTGGTCGAAGTGACGTTGTTCGTAAATTAAATGACCGAATGTTACATGGTTCATTGTTGGCTGTTCAAGAATGTAAGGCGGACTATAACCGCCCAATAAAAGGGATGCAGCTTCGATGTTACTGGCTGCATAGATAGTTGTGTGAAAAATTAGGACCCACTTTAATTTTGGAGATATGATTAGCTAACCTTGAGGAACCCTTTACAGAGTTCCAATTCGTGTTCTGTGGACTTTAGTAGCTCGGTGACTTCGTCCTTTTCTCTGCAGAGGACAGCGATGCGCGTTTTTGCCTCAGTAGTCTGAAGAAGGGCTTCTCTTACTGCTTCGTTGGCACCAAATTGTCCCTGCTCCCCAGTCGGCAGTGTGCTCACTCCTTTACGTCTGACAACCTTGATTCCATCGCCCTCCTTGCGGTCTGATATTGAAACTGGATGTTAAAATAACACAGACTGCTTGCAGACAGAATTACTTTATCTTCGACTATAATGGTTTTGAGTAGAGTATACACGTCGAAATTGTGATAGCTGCGATTACAAAGTGCCGCATTAATCACAGACTAGCAAACTAATTTGTTTGGAAGAAAAATTCGTTTTCACCTAGCCAGTCTAGCAAAGCGGCCTATGCAAATTACGTAGTATGAACGATTGAAGAGCCAGCGTTTTACTCACATAGCTAATTTACAGATTTGTGTTGGCATGCGAAGGCGTTTAGAATTACTGGTCAAACGCATTTCATGAGAAATAAGTATAGTGATCAAAATTTTGTTTATTCAAAAGTTCGATACCTAAGGCTCATCAAAAATGTTGTAATCGGTGTCAATCAAAATCCTGGCATTAATAAGTCTGTTTAACTCTGATTTATTTTTGCAAATTTTAAGGCTCCTTTTCACAGCATATAAGAAAATACGTCTAATGCGAGTCACGATGGGTAAGATGGTCAAAACGAGAGCAGTGTATGGTTAAAAGCAATGCTTGAACGGTCCAGGCGACTCAATGTGCACAAAGAGGTATTCACCTGATCGCTGAATTTTGCAAGGTTGAACTACACTTAATTGAAGCGGCGTTCCGAATCGGTTGCATATTCTGTAGGGGCGTTTAACTGCATCAGATGTGACGGACAGTTGGTCTGCTGGGGATATTTGACATTGGACATCCTTACTGGGCTAAAGAGGTCGAACAAATTCAATTATTCCCTTAAATATTCAGGAGCAAGTGAAGCCGGTGCTTTTGAGCGAACCGCAAACGGCAAATAGCAATGACATTCCGATGCATATGAACTGCATCAAATCGGGGTGAGATACTTAAAGTTTGGTGAACCACATTTATTCCAAACGATAATATTTAAAACTACAATAATTGAAAACGCACATCGGTCTGGCATCAGCTGAGAAAGCACAAAGTCCAGATAACCCATCTGCGTCTCTTTCATTCGAGCATTTTAGCGGCAATTATTTGTGAGCAAAATGAGGTATGACCTACAAATGCATGTGTTTGTGTATTTTTGACACCAAAGTTTGCGTCTGGTCGACCACCTTTGCGTCTGATGCAGTCAAGATCCGTCTCCAATTCGTGATGCATTGCGTCGGTTAGAACATTAAACAGTGACTGAGCACTGTCCTGAAAGGTCGATTGCGCTGAGAGCATGGTCCTTTTCAAGGCAGCAGATGATTGTTCAAACATCTTTACGTCTGTTGGTGAAAGAATCGGGTCAGTCTGGATAGTCACAGGAATTGTCTTTGGCTTTGTTGAACTGAAACCATTTAAACGGACAAAGTGAAGACCTTGGAATAGTGATGTGGATGGCATTGAATGACAAGTTTGATCGATTTCGAGCACAAAAATCAAACATTTATCGAGCTCATGATTCATGAACATGGAAGAGCGGAAAACGTAGGAAAGAGGTAATCGACTCTAGCTAAACTGGTTAAAAATTCTATCGAGAATCGGAAGGCAGGTGACGGCCGTGCTAGACACTACCTACATTCAGCGATGCTAAGTCCCTCTTCCAAAAAGGTGATGAAGAAGAATCTATGGAACAATAAAAAATATTATAAATCCTAGATGAGGGTAAAACCCAAATAGCACCTTAATGGCTCTGGAAAATGGTTAGTAATTAAAACACGTACCTTCGTTTTAAACAGATACTTATGTATGGAAAAGAGAGCAACACATTACCTTCTTTTTTCCAAATCGACAAGTTTCTTGTCATTTTCCTCAACTGCTTCAATGATATCAAGGATAGTCTGTTCGAGACCCTTCATTAGGGCTTCAGTGCTGTCTCCGATTCTTATTTGCAATCCATTAAATTCGGTGATTGTGTCAAAACCCTGATCGCCGTTGACTCTCCCATAACCGAAATTGAGCTTAGACCGAACTCGTTTCAAATGTGAGGCACATCTTTCGAGGGTTTGCTCCAGTTCCTTTGGAAAGAACTTAATCGTCAATGCCATACAGTGAGGCTTATTAGCTTGCAAAGATAATCAGTGTTAAAGAATTTGCATTGGAGGAAGTTAATACAGTTAAAATTTGACGTTTTACAACTGTGCAGAACATTTGTCCTGTGGGTTTGTTGGATGGGGAATGTGGCTTGACACAGTAAATCTGTGTACGGATGCATTCACGACTGGTTTGAATTTAACGGTTAAATTGACTATTTAGACTGGACAAGCCCTTAAATTAGGAACAGTGGGTTATAGAAATTAAATACACCAGTGATCAACCTATCGTGTTTGTATTTAGGGCCGGCCCTTATTAAAGGTAACACGCCATGTTTTAATATCGATCTGTCGAGATGGGAGGATGACTAATGCGGCGGCGGCGGCGACGACGACGAAGAGTACTTGACCTTCAACATTAAAGCCCAGTCCATACCTATCAAACCATATTAGAACTCCGTGAACGCGTCGGTTTGACCGGGTCAATATTGCCGTTTTGTGTGCCGTTTGACAGTTCGACGGGGCAATGGATTAGTCGAACATTTGAAGATTGATAATTTCGACAAACGGACAAAGCTACCAGCACCGCTGTAAGTTGCTGCAAACACATCCTGAGATTGTTGGGTGACATGTACTAAAATGATCTAATGCCTAATTTGGGAGGTTAGAAGGGATTTCTCTTCAATCGAAAATCAGGGTTTCAAACCGTTTTGGGGGCGCCTAAATCGTTGCTAAAAACAGTCGCTTAAATCTATCCTTGAATCAAAATGGGAATCTTGTGGAGCGAAAAAAATGCTGCCCAGAAAAGTGAAGATCCCCTCTAACCGTCTGTAGCATAGAAATGTATTGAAAGACAATAATTAAATAGCTGACTCTACAAGACGACAAGAAAGGATGTCACAGCCATCCAACTAAGTTCTGACAAAATTTATAAGCCACTTTGGCAATCCAAAGAGGAAAGCGACTTTACACTAACGAAAATGAAAGACTTTCCAACATGGACCGAAGCTAATGGGCGTGGGATTGTTACTGACCTAAAAACATCTTCACTCGATTTCAGCCTTCCCATTTTGAAGTGCTGTGCGACGCGATCATTTACACTGCTGTACTAATGAAACAAAGACGAACCTAGTGCCTTCCTCAAGCGACGTTGAGTCGAGAATGTAAACAGCGATCAAGCAGACTTAAAATGGTACCGCCGATAGTGCCAGTGGTCCAGTGGTAAGGTCATGCGCTTAATTTGAGCATGTTCCGATAAAGAAACGGCGAAGTGCTTCCGCAGCATTCAACGCATACATTTATACACCTCTCATGGTTTCTAACTGGGTTAGTTCAAATGATTGGGATTGTCGGAAATACTGTAAACAGGCAAATTTTCTTTGGTACCATTAATGTGTGGAATGATGCATACTGCTTTATAGAAAGTGAACTGGGATGTCGAATATCAACCCATTGAGATACACTTACATCACTCCAAACGAATAATATCGAATGGAAAATGACAAAACATCTCATTATAAGTCATAGTAATGCAAAACAGCACCCTTAAACAAAGTTTACAGTCTGCAAAAAGTGAATGTAAATATATCGATCGCCATTCGAATGTGCCAGAAAGATGGAATATCTTCAGAATTAATAAATTTCTGCCTAAAGAACCGAAACTCATTAGCCAGGATCGCTTTTCGATAAAAAAGCAAGTGATGCATGTAAATTTCGGCGCCAACCGAAAAGAGTTATTCAAAGAGTACAAAGTCCCCATGATTATTGATGATGTTGATGATATCGAGTGCAACTCTTAAACTGAGCCGAGCAGAAATGGCGTTAGGAATGCAGCCTGGCACCATCTGTCCCACACTAATGAATCAAATTAGCAGGCTAGCGGCAAGAGTGGGCTAGTGCCAAGCGCAAAATCGGTCAAGAAAACACACCAGGTTGCCTAATATCACACTGATACAGCCGCTACGTTCTTTATTTCTTCCTTTCATTTCTCACGACTGGCAGTGGCTACAATCGTTATGAAAATGAGACTATGGCACATTAAGCTTCCAACGACTCCTCAGACGTTTGGCCCAATACGCAGCCTAGTCTTGCTGTCTCAAATATCCATTTTTTTTACAATACACAGATTCTGATTCTTTATCGTGCTAAAAGGGTTCACCTCTTGGATTCTTATTGTGTTTGCATCATGCTCTTCGTGAGTTTGAGACGCTTCATTTCGACAGGGAGGAAGTACCATCGAATCCGCCGCAGATGTCTCAATTTGAAGACTGGGAAATCTGCAGAACAGCTCATTTCTCTCATAGTCGGAAGAGCTGGGACTGATGCTCCGTGCAGTCAAGTTCCTCCGTGACATACTAAGCGCATCGATGCGGCTCTCTGTAACCTCATTCTTCAATCGACAGATCTCTTCTATATCCTTCCCGCGTTGCTTTAACCATTTAAGGAACAAAGTAAAGCGTGAACAATTTTCGCTTAAAAATGCAACACTAATTTACCGTCTCTAGATCCATTATTCGTTGAGATTGTTCCATGAGTTTTTGATTAAGTAAATAAATTTTGGACTGCTCATCCTGATGTTCAGAAAGACGGGTTTCAAGAGCATCGCGTGCCTTGGTCAAGGATTCGACTTCTTCACTAAGCTCCTGACACCGAACCTAAAATTGTAATTTAGCACATGGAATAGCGAGCTGAGTCTATTGTTTTTTTCGCCAGAAGAGCAAGTAGCTTCGAAAATGGCACCATAGGGTGCATGCATTTCCTACCTACAATTAATATATCTTCATCGGTAAAAAAATAAACTACTTTGTTCTCGATTCACACAATTTGCAAAGGTATAAAGTCAGCAGCAATAATATTTTAAGACGGCTAAGTAATACAATCATTGCCGTAAACTTGGTTACATGCAAAAATATTGCCATGTAAATCGTCAACTTGTAGCAAGAAAGGTGCCTATCCATTTGATTGTAAGAATTCACTCATTGTTAATTTTTTTGCAGAAAATTTTTGTGTCGATGAAGTAAGTGATATTCTTACTCGGTAGTAAAGAGCGGCTTCGAGACGTTGTTTTAGTTTCTCGCAAGTTCGCTCAGATTCGCGTAGTTGAACGATGGCCTGCTGACCGGCGTCGGCCTCGTCTCGCCAGTGTCGAGCCGCCGCCGCCGCATCCGCCAGTCGCGCGCGCTCTGTCCTAAGCCGGTCTACCTCTGCTCGCATTTCCGCCAACTGCGACTGCACCTCCTCCAACTGATCAGCCTGCTCTGAACTAGAGTAAAGAACAAAATCATTCTAGGGCAACCTCATATGCCACCCTATAGATACATTCCTGCTCGCCCTTAGCTACAAACTTTGAAATTCTGGTGACTTTCAACATCAGAGGTTATCAGTTACAATATGGACTAGATTGTTGCAAGCTTGTCTTACATTAGCAAAGATTGCTGCCTCAACTTCGCTTTAGCTCTGGTTATTTGAGTATCATTTGCTTTTTCCCCGCCGTCATTGACAAGCTGAATCTCTGCACTACCCAGGAGTGAGTTGTGATCCCTCTTTTCCTTCAATTCCTCTCTCATAGGTTTGTCGGTAGGCGGACGACTCTCGTATCCCGTTTCAGAGGTAGTCGCTGTATCCGTTTCCACACTTTGTGGACTCTTTAGCACATCATGTCTCGCCTCGTTAGACCTTTTAAAGGCAAGACCAACAAAGTCTAAGGACGATGTCAGTGATCGACTTCGTGAAATTTTAACATCAAAATCCTTTTCTTGTCGTTTTTCTTGTTGTGGGCTGAAAAGGTTCCTTTTTGATGGAGTCCAATCTGGATAGTTATCGCAGATACGATGGAGGACTTCTTCAGCCAACTAATAGACGTTCATAATAAAGGAATAAGTTCAATAAAACGTACGAGAAAATACAACTCCACTCGACTCGAGAGTGCCCTTCTTATGTTGTACCGAAGTCCAGAGGGAAGCTCATAAGCTCCGGTTAGGCTAACCGTTGTGTCGGCATATTCAGTGAGCTATTAAAGCCATACTTTGGTAAGAAACTCGTTTCGAGACTCCAAGTGAGCACCGTGTAACTTACGCTGGTTATGGACTGCATTATACCCTTTTGTGTTTCAGTGCTGAGATTATTCATGATATCACGGATATACAATTCCCGTCTTTTGCATTTTATAGCCGCAAGAAGCAAAAGGAGTGTAACACGTTCTAGCTCACTTTTCGCAGCGCCTAAAATGCGTTGAAATGTTGACTACTGGAAATTTAAATATGCATGAAGCATCAATGATGGGCAATACAATCAAACGGAAGTTAGGCAGGACCATTAAAGATAGCAAGCAGTTTTCAGGGAATGGAACAGTAAATCAAATCGTTTTGTGCTTGTGAGAATTTCTAAACACTTACATGATGAGGGAGAAAAGATTATGTGAAAAATACTGGGAGGTGCAATAACCATAAGGTGTTGCAGCTCCTCCTAAAAACCAACGAAAGTGAAGTTACATTGGTCTGAACCATATATCACACTGGCGTTGTTCAAAACTTACGATAAAAAACTCTTCCAGATTTTTAACAAGCATTTTCCAATTTCGCAAACGCGTGAAGGCACTAGCGTTACTCAAAAGAGGCTCAACTGCTGTCCAATCGTATTCGGCTCTAAAATATAAGATTCCGACAATGGACCGCCGTTTGCAATAAAAAGACAGTGCCGCCAACATTTAAAGTCTACCAGTTGAGAAAAAGCGTTTCACTTCAAGAACTAGTTATTCGAAATAATTACTCCTCTAGAGATAGTCCGATCTCCAAATTAATCGCAATGGTAGACATAAATAGGTCAATTAGAATTTAGATAAAGCACAAAAGCAGGCATTGTGTGACGACGAAATGCAAATTTCTGTACCAGCAAAACCTTTGTGTAGCATTATTGCCAAAGAAAACTCAAAAAAGTAGAGCATGACCAAGCAGTGTCCAAAGACAAAATACAATGCATGATGACTTTTAATTTCAAGCAAAGCGATATCGAATTTCCGCACAAAGATCAGATAAGGAAGTTTTAGCCTAGATAAACTTGTATTTCAAAATACCAACTGTTAACGTATACATCAGGTACAGAAAATATCTAGTAATCACAAACACTAAACAATTCAAAAACAAAACCAGAAATGTCTATAAATTGTGGGCAATTTACATATTTCAGGCAGCAATCGCAAATATACGGGAAGCACAAAAAATTTTGGCGACGTAATTTTACAAATTAGCTGGGCATCAAAAATTTGCAATGTAAAAAGCATCACCATCAGAACAATAAAATATGCCTAGATAGACAAATTTAAAGGCCGTAGTAGAATGATGTTCTTGGTATTTTTAAAAGTGAACTAAAATAAAGTATCTGGCCAAAAAAGTGGTTTGAATCTCGACTTTAAAAAGAGGTCAGCTTAGTTGCTAGAGTATGCGAGAAACTACCACAGATACCTAAACAGCCTACAATGTTCAAAGAAGATGTTTTGAAAGCATCGGACGACTTGCAAAATTAATAAAAAAATACAGTGTCAAAGATAGAATATGCAAGCCATAGGCTAATGATATTCCCTTGATAATAACTCACATTTCACAAAATACTTGATTAAGAAATATTCCATCTGTAAAATCCTTCAGTTGGATCTGCCAGTCATTATTCCAAAATGTCGTGCACCAAATCACACTGTCACAGTTAAAGAAACTGTCCATATTGCAGTGGATAAAGCAGACTTAAGCTAAAGAATGTAAGAAGCGAAGCAGATCAACAGAACTGCTGGGCTCCTATGCGGCTCGCGGACTCGACTGTGACCTTAAGTACAAAAGCGAAGACACCATATTTAAACCAAGGTATGTTATTCAATACAATCAAACAAGCAAGGGCAAATTACGAACAAATAAAATTAATTAAACAACATGGTAACATTATAGATTAATATTCAAACTTACAGCACGTTCTACCATTTACTTCCAGATCCGAGGCAGATTCTGGAGTATTTACAATTGAAGTCCCATTTCGCTGATAATAAGCAAAATAACGCTTTTGTAGTGCTTTGAGACTTACCACAAGGTTGAAGAAGGCATTAATTTTGGCAGAATGCATGGATTTATAAGTGGTGTCTTGGCTTAGCCCGAAAGGAGCTCGTGCTTACAAGGACCAAACAATTTCTCTAGTAACCGCCAGAAATCAGACGACTGATATTTGAACCAACCCAGTGTAATGCTTTGTTTATGTGACTATCTGACGTTTGGCGGTCACTTTAGAACTTGTCTGGGCTCTGTACACGTGGGCTGGCCTTCGGGTCGCGCTCAGGCCCCATTTCTCCTAATGCTTTCGGAATACACGTATTCAACCTCACTTATGTCTTCTACTACCTCATTGTAAGCCTCGGGACGCTACACCCAGGACATAACAACCTTCTTTTCAGAGAATACATGTCTAATTTTACCCTGTGGGAATTCTTGAGAAGCTACACTGGTAACGGCGTAATGCGAATCCAACCTCTTTTAACGACTCCTTCTTTAGCATCTACTGTTTGTGGCTTATGCCCACAGTATAAAGGAAGCGTATTTAAGCCAGAGAGGATGAGAACCTTAGAAGCCTTTAAAACAGAAGGGTTGGGAATGATATCACCAATTAAAACCACACCGATTCGAGCTATTTGAATTTCCGTATCAGAATTCTCCCAACCGCATCTGCGGATGGATGGCGAAAATGAAAGGACGGTTCTTTCTGTATGTGGGACTGTCTGATCCCGTTTCCCTTGTGCCGCATTTGTTTTAGACTAGAGTTAAAAATCCAGTCCTAGAAGTAATCGATGATCAACAGATGTATACGACCTCTATTGGGGCTGTTCGATCGAAAGTAACTCCAAATCCAGCTGAAGGCGCTGATGACTAGCGCGGTTGATTCGTGGGTGCTTTCTTACGATACGAAATATGTTAGTACTTCCTTAGCTCTTGAGCTTGTGAACCGACCTTCGGGCGAATCCAAACCTCAATACCTTCCTCTGCCTAAAGTACAATTGTTCAACCCAGAATGCACCAGCATTTTCCTCTCCACAGCCATTTCTCCCTGCTCTCAACACGCACTTTGACCTACTGAGCGAACTCGACTTAGCAATGACAACTTGAGTAGACACAATCAAGCAATCAATACTTGTGTCAGTTTCCCGCATATCCTTTTCTGCTACCTCTGTTGAACTTCAAGCGGTTTTTAGATCTCCAATTGTTCTATGAGCTAGTGATTCATGTTCTGTTATCATAATAAGTTGTACCACCACGGGAGAGCTCAAAGAACAGCAATCAAACGGTGTATCGTAATGCTTAGGCCAAATTGCTACCATAGATATCTTGATGAGGGCCGATACCATTAATTCTAGAGATAGACTCGTTACTTTTGAGGCATCATCCACGACTAGCAAAAAACAACCGTCTTTAAGCGCATGGTAATTATAACCATTATGAACCTAGGTAACTGTCCAATAGTTGAGGCTGGTAGTAGAAGGGACTAAAGGGAAGGCACGTGTGCAATGATGGAAATCATGTAATAAACAAAAACCTGTCGCAATATAAAAGATACAATAATTTGGGGATTAGTCATCTTTTCGGGACCAAATTAGAGCGGCCACGTTAAATGGGAGGGAGGATTTTTACAAAATTCGCCGCTTGGTTTCTTACCTGTTTGGTTTTGACACACAACCATCCAATAGGGCGTAGTATGGAAAAAACGGTACCACAGATTGCAAAACAGGAAGATCAAAATGATAACGAATATGGCGACACGAAAGCGAATATTTGTGTAATCTGACTGATGAGTTGTCAGAGGAGGTTGGTTTTCCTCAATAGACATCTCCAAATTCGTTGGAACGAATCTGCTTCGAATGGGGTCATGCAGCAGTGTTTCTGAAAGTACGAAACATAAATGAACACGAAGCCATTTAGCAATATTATCTGGTTCTGCAATAAAACGTAGACAAGCAGTTTAATTAGCCCGATACACCACGCGATAAAGACAAGGATTCAAGGCTTACAAGATTGACAAAACTTTGGGCGGCTAGTTACGAAAGGTGTTTCTGGGAAGCTTTGAATTCATTGACCTAGGTTTGCGTACCAAACCACTTGATGATACACGCTCCTGTCATGCTCTCACGACAGTGAAATGCCCAAAGTTAATGAGGCACACTTGCATAAACTTGGCCTCATCCAAGCAAAGTAAAGTATTTCGTTGCAGTGCATCATAGGCCATGGCATAAATACATAGCTTTCTTCCTCAGCTTTGAAAAGACTAGCAGTTATCGAAGAAATCGCAACCGGTCACATCTCAAACAAATCAACGGAACCAACATATGCCTTTATTAATGGAATCACATCGATTCCACATTAAAGAATCCACCGCCACCTAATTCTCCCTAAATTTTAGGGTGGATAGGCGGTCTTGATCTAACTGATGCGGGACATCAACACAAAACTGCGCAATGAGTTGAGGGACGAGGTAACTGCTTTCGGCACTTCACAAAATCATGGTTTGTACAAAAACAAGAAAAAGTGTTTGAAGAGTGCAGCTACAAGATGTGAAGCCACATATGAATAATCGAAATATTGAAAAAAACAGTATTGCAATGGTAAAACATGTGACGCACCTTTGAAAACGTTGGTGATACCCTCAGAATTTTGACGTACATTGCATAATGCCTGCAAGCAAGAAGTAATAGAGCAAACAAGGGAAGCAAATGGAAGCATCTGAGACCTAACGCACAAAAGTGGCGCCAAAAAGAAGAGTACAAGAGCTGAGACACGTAGTCGTCATGCCTACTTTGTTATCATCCAGACAGCCAGTAGTGATGAAGGATGACCTAAATGCCAGAGTCCCAGTTTGTCATTTCCTTTAGAAGCAATTAATCACAGTGAGTTTTGGTGGATCAACTGCAACTAATTTCATTTTGAATGCCAGTTTAAATAAGGGACTCCAATCGGTGAGATAATGTTACGGAGCATAGTAGCGTAAAATAGTTAAAGCAGAAAATGAGGAACCTTTCGAGGTAAAAAAGGATCATTATAAGGATGATGGTAACCGCACCCTCCTAGACTGTTCCTTCCAATCTGTCCGGAGAGCAATAAAGGTGTAGACACAATCCGTCAGGAAAAAGCCAGTAGCAAGTCCAACCCACATCCCTAAAGAAGAACGAAATGGCTAATGCCTTTCTCGTTAGAGTAGTTTTTCCAAAAAATATAACAGTTTGCTTAAACGTTATAAGTAGGAAACTTCGATTAAGACCCACTTTTGACCGAATTAACGTTATCACAAAGTTGAGCGTTCAGCGCAAACAATTCGTCTACCTAGTACAGTGACCTTACGGGCACAAAAGATACAGTTTACAATAAAAGACCACCCTTAGTTCCCGCACTGCAACTGCAGTTGAAGTGGGTGTAAAGTGATAGGTACTGCATGTTAACTAAGTGAATATCTC